AAGGCCAATCCTTAGAACTATGTGGAAGGAACTCTGTGCAGTCTTCAACTGGCTTATCTTGATTATACATTCCTATGGTGACGCCACCACACTGTTTAGAGTGAGAGGTTATGTCACCTCCTGGGTTCCATCGCTTGGTGTATAGGTTATGTCTACTTTCCCAGGCCCAGGAATGACAAAATCAGTCGCCCTGTATTGATCCCCATAAGCATGACGACCTATGATCATAAGCCAGGGGATAGTTGTACAGACACCAGCTTCCCTGAAGACAGTGCCACCCAGAATATTTCAGACAGTGCCATTGGTGATTTTCACATTTGTTTCCTTTTTTTTTTTTTGGGTACTGGGAATTGAACTCAGGACCTTGCGCTTGCCAGGCAGGTGCTTGTACCACTGAGCTAAAATCTCGGCCCTTCACATTTTGTTTCAACTTGAACTCCTCAACCCTCTTCTCACTGGGGATGATGGTGACCCACCTGACACCACTGTTGTACTTTATAGCTTCTGCAGCATCCTCGGTGACTTGGTCATTGGTGGCATCCCGATTCTGTATACCTCCCTCACAGCAATGGAGCTCCACAGTGCCACATAGGGAAAAATTAGTTTCTTTAATCAGTTCCCAAATGATTTGTGTCATTTCATCTCCTTGCATCTCTACCATAGAATTGCCATGGATTGCGGGGGGCGCATTTTTACTGATGATAAACCTTTACAAATGAATGGATTTCTAGTCATCCCCAACTTCTTCCAATCTTGCAGACTCAAGTAAAGGCAGTTTACCTCCTCTGCAGCTGAGCAGGGGGGCCATGGCCCCCACACACTTTCTCCTGTGTATACGGACAGTCCCGACCGCCACCTCGGCTTCGGACACTGAGTGGTGCAGTCCAGGGATCAGAAGGCAGGAGTCATGGCAGCAGTAGAAGAAAAAGCAAGGGGAAGACACACTTTCCCCAGCTGTTCTCCATTCGTTCACTCAGGCACCGGAGAAATCGCTCAGGTTATAGTTACGTGGTCTTATATTGTGTTGTTCCCCAAATGCCATCATTTCCTAAGCATATGTCTGTCACCACCATAGGCCATGAGTGGGACCTGAGGGCAGTGTGTCTGCCTTAGTTCTCTATTGCCAACTCAGAACGTGTCTCCTGTGAAGACAGGGGAAGCAGTGAAGGCAGAAATCTGAAAGATGGACAAAAGTTTTCCCGCGCTCTCTAGTGCTGTGCAAATGAGCCTTGTCCAGGCCCACAGGGGATGCCAGGTGGCTGATGAGCAGCCTCGGCCCTGCTATCTCTTGCCCTGGGTCCAAGAGAACCACTACACTCAGCGGAGGGGAAGCTGCTGTATGGCGGGGTCATGGGGGGTATTAGTGAGGCACTCATTTGTGACAGCAACAGAAAGGGGTGCTAAAAAAATTCAGTAATCCAGAGAAATGGGAGCGGGCTATGCGCAGGAGGACTGAGAGTTCAAGGCTAACCTGGACTGCACAACAAGAAGTGAGGAGTGGGGTTGTGACTCAGTAATACAGTGCTTGTCTAACATACATAAAGTCCGGTTCGACCCCCAGTACTGCAAAAAAGACCAAACCCAAACCCAAACAGAAACCATAACAAGACTCTGTCGAGATGGAAGCGGGGGAGAACTTTTAACACAATACTTAAAATTTAGAAAAAAGAATAAAATTAGCACTCTGGGAGGCTGAGACAGGAGGATTGCCTTAAGTTTAAGGACAGCCTGGGCGACATAGTGAGTTCAAGGCCAGCTTGAAGTACATAGTGAGACCCTGTCTCAATAAACAAAACACTCCTGCCTAAACTCCCCAAAATAGGGGTATT